AATACAGAAGCCTGATGATGGCAGATGAGATTCTGCTGAAACGTTGCTACAACTTTAAAAGCACCACTACTATGACGTGGGAAAATACCCGAACAAAGCTGAAGGCCATACATGTAAGTACCCGCGAAAACTTAAGAAAATATATATATATATAGGACAGGGTCTTATTTTCGGGGAAACACGGGTAAGTAATTATTAGTATTTATTAGTGTTCCATGGGGGTCTCCACGAGGTACCCTTTGGCCAGGTGGGATAGCATGTCCTTCATGAGTGGGAGGGGATATAGATTGTGTACACACAGTCCATTTATTGCCCTAAAGTCAATGCATAATCTCATAGTCCCATCTTTTTGAATGAATGAATGTTTCTCAGAGTCAGCTAGCTGTCACTATTTCGGCACTTAACCCCATTTAAATCCTGAGTCTCGAGTCAAACTTCCAAAACTTCGAAAGGATTTATTGGGAGTGAACATCTCAGGCATTGCCTGGGTGTAGCCGACTATGAGACATCATCATTCATCGTCTTCTTGACCCTGGTTTTCCCCCTTCCCCCTGGGTGTATCGTAATTCATATTCTCCAATGGGACGCATCCATAGCCCAGAGTCATCAATCATGCTCTCCCGTTAGAATTCTGCGTGGCAGAACCTTCAGTCACCTAGTTATTATCTATTGCTGGAATGCACTTTTGATTTCCAAGCTGCCGCACTGCTCCCCCTCTCCCTTTCTGTTGGCAACTCTAAAAAGACCATAGAAATATTTGATGAGTTGACACCCCACCTCAGGATGGGTGTGGACAGCCTCACCTCAAAGATTTCGTCCGTCTTCAGTTCCTTCATGCTGAAAATGATGCCGTGGCAGAAACTGGACACCTGCATGGCTCGGCACCCGTCGTCTTGAAAGGCCACGTTCTTGCTGCAGGAGCTGTGGAAACGGTGGGCCACGCCTGGAACTAGAGGAGAGGGGAGGGTGGTCAACGGGGCATCGAGTCTCGGGGGACACCAAGGGCCTTACTAACCCCGAACCCTCAAGGGGGATGGGAGGCTCACCTGGGGAGTGGATGGGGAAGGATTTCTCTGTGGTGTTGCTGGTGGAGAGGCTGTTGTCCAGGGGCCCTGTGGAGCTGGTGATGGACACCTGGACGCACTGGCCGTAGAGGTCCACCATGGCATAGAGCTCTGAGCGGGGGTGAGAAAGAGCGGAGGGGAGGGAGGGAAGCAAGAATTCTGATCAGGCTCCGTTCAACCCAGGCAGAGAAAATAGAATAGAATAAAATAGAATGGAATTAATAGAAAATAGAATAAAATAGAATAGAACAGAGGATAGAATGGAATTAATAGAAAACAGTATAAAATAAAATAGAATTAAGAGAATAGAATAAAATAGAATAGAACTAATAGAACAGAATAAAAGAGAAAATAGAATGGAATTAATAGAAAATAAAATAGAAGATATAATAGAATTAACAGAAAATAGAATAAAATAAAATAAAACTAATAGAATAGAATAAAATCAAAAATAGAATGGAATTAATAGTAAATAGAATATAGAATAGAATGGAAGATAGACTAGAATTAATAGAAGATAGAATTAACAGAAAATAGAATTAATAGAATAGATTAGAATTAATAGAACAGAATAGAAAATAGAATGGAATTAATAGAAAATAGAATATAGAAGAGCAGATAGACTAAAATTAATAGAAGATAGCATTAACAGAAAATAGAATTAATAGAATAGAATAAAATAGAATTAATAGAATAGAAAAAAGAATGGAATTAATAGAAAATAGAATATAGAATAGAAGAGCAGATAGACTAGAATTAATAGAAAATAGAATTAACAGAATAGAATAAAGTAGAATAGAATAGAATGAATAGAATAAAAAATAGAATTAACAGAAAATAGAATAGACTAGATAGAATGGTATGGCATGACATAGAATAGAATAACAAGAATTGGAAGGGACCCTGTCACATTTTTCTATGCTGTTGTAACTTGGAATGAACTGTTGTAAGTCAATGAGTAGATGTATTTGAACCTCACAGTCTTTTAACATGGGTGGACTTCAACTCCCAGAATTCCCCCAGCCAGCTGGGATTTTTTTTCTTTTTTAAAATTTGCTGAAGTCAAGATATGTTACGTCTTACTGCATTCCCATTGTCTATTAAGAAAGTTATACAGTACTATCAAAAAAAAAAAGTTCAGGGAATTCTGGGAGTCGAAGTCCGCTGATTTTGTTTTGTTTTTTTAAAGGCCCGCCCCATCCATCATGTCCCCACCTTTGACCTTCACTATAATGGTCTCACCCTTCCCTGGGGGCAGCCCGGAGCATGCCACCCCCTGGTCCACGCTGTTGATGAAGTAGTGCAGGTCCCCCTTCACCGTCCGCATCATGCTGATGCGCGAGCCGGTGGTCAGCAAGTCCAAGTCGCAGCCGTAGTTGTTGCGCAGGGTGTTTCCATCCTGCATAATGGCGGTGTCGCTGAAAGGAGAGAGAGGGAGAGAGAGAGGGGGGAGAAAAACTTAGGCGGCGGCGGCCGGTCTTCATTGTAACGCTGAGCATGGAGAAAAGGGAGTGGAGAGTAAGGCAGAAATCTTGACTTTTTTGCCCTCCTGGGAGGGCAGAACAGGAAAGGACCAATGACATTGGGGCTTCTCAGGGGCCAAGTAAGATAGGAAGACTCGATTCGGGCTCCCCAACAGCTGAGATTCAAGAATTCTCGGGTGAAAGTCACCTAGCCGAAGGCGGGACTAGAACTCCCAATCTCCTGGTGATTGGCCCAAAGTCACCCAGATTTTCATGGCTAAGGTGGCACTAGAATTCACCGTCTCCTGGTGATTGGCCCAAAGTCACCTAATTGGTTTTCATGCCTAAGGCGGGACTAGAACTCACCATTTCCTGGTGATTGGCCCAAAGTTACCTAGCTCGCTTTCATGCCTAAGGCGGGACTAGAATTCCCCGTCTCCTGGTAATTGGCCCAAAGTCAACTAATTGGCTTTCATGCCTAGGGTGGCACCAGAACTTCCCGTCTCCTGGTGGTTGGTCCAAAGTCACCCAGCTGACTTTCATGTCTAAGGCGGGACTAGAACTCCCAGGCTCCTGGTGATTGGCTCAAAGTTTCCTAGTTCGCTTTCATGCCTAAGATGGCACTAGAACTCCCCGTCTCCTGGTTTCTATCCTGGTGCCTTTACCTCTAGACAAAACTGGCTCTCATTGTTAGATTAGTTCTCATTCTTTGGCCCCATCCTTACTTACTTACCTGAGCATCCAGGTATCGTAGTCAATGTCCGTCATTGTATTGGGGAATTCCAGGTCTTCCGGACGGATGGCGGTGACTCCTGCACGGAAGACGAAGGCCATAAGCATTAAGGGGGGTGGGGACACGTCCCACTGCCCCCCTCCAACTCTCCCAATCTCTCCCCCCCTCACCTGCTTCAATGGAGCCTGACCAAAGATCCACCATCTTCTGGATAACGATTTTGAACAGTTCGCCATCCTGAAGGGGCCTGTGGGAATCAAAGCTTGTGAGGCAAGCCGTCACACCAAACGACTGGAATTCTGGGCTCAATTGCCATCATTGAGCGGAGCACTGCCTGCTAATTCCTCCCATTCCGACCCCTTAGAGGCAGTGCTCGACTCACAACAGTTCGTTTAGTGACCGTCGGAAGTTACAAGAGTGTTGAAAGAGGCGAACGAGGGTTGTTTGCCAGACTTTTAACAACTATTATGGTGTTATCAAAATTCGGATGCTTGGTGACCGGCATGGACTTATGACCGTTGCCACGTCCTGGGGTCACGTGATCCCCTTTTGCAACCTTCTGACAAGCCATGGGGGAACCCAGTGTTCTGACCTCAGCTTCCCCAAAAAGCACTAAACAGACTCTTTGTCCCGGCAAAATCCCCTTTTATTAAACAAAGGTGAATTTCTTGCATTCGCATTCAGCCAAAGGTCTGGCACACAGTCTTTCCAGGGTGTGATTAGGAGCACAGACCTTATCTAGCCTGGAGAGCTGCCAAGTAACTATTTCCAAACGCAGTGCTGACAAGGAAGGGCTCAGCACAAAGTCTCTGAGATGCACAGACAGATCTTCCCACTGCAGGAACCAATGAATTGTTTCCTGTAAAAGCCCCCTCCCCTTTTGTGCCAATTTTAATCCCTCTGGGAAGGGCCATTCACCACCCACCTGTGGCCTTACTCCCACGTCGCCCCGTAGTTCGTAATCGTTCTTTTCTTTTGGCAGCTCTGCACATGCACAGGCTGGGAACAGTCTCCAGCTGTTCTTCTGCCTCACTGCTGTTTGACTCTGAAGGCAGTTGATAACTGTCGGAAGGCCCTGGTCCCATCTCTGCCTCTGATGCAGAGCCCTTGTCTGAACCTTTCTCAGCCTCCATGACTGGCCCATGTTCCTCCCGCCGGCAGGCCACAACACCATCATCCATCCATCCATCCACCCACCCTGTCTATCCATCCCTCTTCTGTCTCCATCCATTTGTTCTGACCTAGGCTTCCCCAAAAAGCACTAAGCAGACGTTTTGTCCCGGCAAAACCCTTTTTATTAAACGAAGGTGAATTTCTGGCATTTACTTTCAGCCAAAGGCCTGGCAAACAGTCTTTTAAGGGTATGATTAGGAGCACAGGACCTTATCTAGCTTGGAGAGCTGCCAAGTAACTATTTCTAAACGCAGTGCTGACAAGGAAGGGCTTAGCACAATGTCTCTGAGATGCACAGACTGTGGCAATGAACGAGCGAATTGTTTCCTGCAAAAGCCCCCTCCCCTTTTGTTCCTCTTTTAATCCCTATGGGAGGGGCCATTCACCATCCACCTGTGGCTTTACTCCCGAGTCAACCCTTGTTGCTTAGCTGTTGCCTTCTTCTGGCAGCTCTGTGCATGCGCACACTGGGAACAGGCTCCAGCTGTTCTTCTGACCCACTGATCTCTGACTCTGAAGGCAGTTGATAACTGTCAGATGGCCCTGGCCCCATCTCTGCCTCCGATGCAGAGCCCTCGTCCGAGCCTTCCTCAGCCTCCAGGACTGGCCCCAACCTCCTCGCTGTCTGACTCTGCTGCCAGCTCCGCCGCCGGGCCACAATGGCCAGATTGACTTCACAACCATGTGACTAACTCAACAACTGCATTAATTCACTTAACAACCGGGGTAAGGAAGGTCGCAAAACAGATTGAAACTCACTTTTCACAAACGTCTCGCTTGGAAACATGCATTTTCAGCTCAATTGTGGCCGTAAGTCGAGGAGTACCTGTACCTGCCCTCGACTTACAAGTTATTTTATTGGCCGTTGGAAGTTACGATGGCCCTGGAAAAAGCAACCTGACCACCCTTTTCGCACTTATGACTGTTGCAGCATCCCCATTAACAAAAATCTGACGCTCGGTGACTGACTCGTATTTATGACAGATGCAGCGTCCCGGGGGGGAAGGAATCACATGAGATCCCCTTTTGCGACCCTTTGACAAACCAAATCAATGGAGTGGGGGAGCCCAATTCACGTAACAAACAACTGCATCAATTCCCCCAACAACCGCAGTCAGAATGGTCGCAAAACAGGGCAAAGCTTAACTATCCCGTTCATAACTTCACAACTTGCAGGGGTTCCCTTAGCTGCGGCAAGCAAGAATCTAGGGCTCGGCTGCAGTCGTTAAGCGAGGACTAGTTTAGTTTATTATCATTGCACCTCGTACAACGAAATCAAACACCGTCTTCAGTGCACATCATGACCATGAAAATAAACACAAACACACATCCTTCACCCTCCACACATTGAATTGAAAACCCGATATTGCATTCATATTGCACTATACAGCAGAATTCAAAAGAGCTATTGCCCTGGGATAGAAGCTGTTTTTCAGCCTATTTGTCCTTGTTTTTATTATTCTGTACCATCTGCCAGATGGTAATAGTTCAAAAAAAGGGTTCCCAGGATGAGATGGATCTTTGAGAATGTTTTGAACTTTCTTAAGGCAGTAGGAGCTATAAAGCTCTTCCAAAGAGGGGAGAGGGCAATCAATGATCTTCTGGGCAATGACATTAACCCTCTGGAGTGCTTTCCTATCTGCCACTGTGCAATTGGCAAACCAAACAGAGGTGCAGTATGTTAAAATGCTCTCTATGGTGCAGCGGTAGAAGGTCACCAGCAGATTCTCATTCAGTTGTTGTTTTCTGAGAAGCCTCAGGTAGTATAATGTCTGCTGGGCCCTTTTGACCAGTGCTGCAATGTGGGCACCCCAGGTCAGGTCCTCTTTTAGGGTAACACCTAGAAACTTAAAACTGGCCACTTGCTCCACTCCATCTCCATTGATAAGCAAGAGCTGGATGTCTGAACTGTTCCTTCTATAATCCACGATAAGCTCCTTGGTCTTACTGGTGTTGAGGACCAAGTTATGGTTTCCACACCACGAAAGCAACCGTTGGTCCACCTCATCTCGGTAGGCAGACTCATGAGTCCCACCACTGTTGTATCATCTGCAAATTTAGCAATAGCATTACTAGTGTGAGTGGGAATGCAGTCATGCCCATAAACAGTATAGAGTAAGGGACTCAACACGCAACCCTGACTAGTCGCAGGGATGGGATTCAACCGGTGGAAGAACTGGTTTGGGGAGCCCAACAGCTGATCATCAGAGAGAACTGGTTCGCTCCCAGATGATCTTCGAAGCTACCGGTTCGCCTGAACCGGGCTGAACCGGTCGAATCCCATCCCTGACAAGTTGCAAACTCGTCCTTTCACTGACCAGTTGGAGATGACGATGGCGTCGTTGAATTCGCTGCGGCAGTTCTGGCGCAGGGCGGTGCACCCACCGTTGATGATGGCGTTCCCATGGAGGTGATGGAACCGCAGGTCGCTCCCTGAAGCCACGGAGGAGGGGCTGCTGGGGAAGAGCTGGTTGTTCCCCTTTGAAAGATCGTCGGGAAGAGGGAGGAGATCTGGGAAGGAAGGGGTAGCGAGACCAGGAGTGGGGCTTCAGCTGGTTCGTGCCAGTTTGGCCAAACCGGATGTTAATTTTACATCTGGTTGGGCAAAAACTGGTATTTCCGATGACTGGCTGGCTCCACCCACTCCTCCCCTCCCCTCACCTGAGCCCCCACAGAGCCCGTTTTGGATTGCAGGTAAGTGCAGGGCAAATGAATGATGTATTTTAGTATTGGCTGGCTGTCAGGACTCCCAACAAATCCACCCCCATTCAAATCATAAGTCTCTAGCCGCATCTCTCAGAGTAAAAAAAAATGATTTATTAGGAGTGGCCATGTTGGGGTTGTGCAGCCGACACTAAAATACATCATTCATTTCCCCCTTGACCCTGGTCTTCCCCCCACCCCCTGGATGTATATTCTCCGATGGGACACATCCATAGCCAAGAGTCATCAATCATGCTCTCCAGTAATATTCTTGAGCTTTGGGCTGCCAAGGTGATTATCTAGGCACTTAAGGAATGCACTGTTTTCCCCTCACTCCCTCTTTCTGGCAACTAAAAAGACCAAAGGAGCATCTTTTTAGTTGACAGCCTGTGCAGAGGTTCGGGGAGGGCAAAAAACAGGCCTCTCAGAAGTTTTGCGAGGCCGGAAACGGGAGTGTTTCCGGAGAGCCTTGGGAGCCCAGGGCAGCCTACTAGGTCAAAAATGGGGCACAAGGGGGGAACGCAGCATGGCCCTTTGTGGCCCGTTTTCACTCCCAAGGTGTTGCAGGAGGTTGACTAGGCCACTGCCACACCCACCCAGCAACCAGACAGAGAACCGGTTGCCTGGTCCAGTGAGGGCAGGTCATTATGAGATAGTCTATTCTTGATTCACGGGTATATAGAGGAGGTCTGCAATATTAAGTCAAATGGAAGGGATATCCTTTAGGTGAGGAATCATGGGTTGGCCACATTAATGTTAATGCACCACGTCTTCAATGGAGGTTCCATAAACAGTACCCTGGGAAACCCAAGGGAGGACACGTGAACCACTATGGTGATAATTATTCCCTTTTTATTGCTTTACAGGCGGATCTCTGGTAGAGGGGGCCTCCTGTTAGCTCCAAATATGCCTCACAGCAAGTCAGCTGGCCATGTCACCTTATCTCTGCTGCTGCTGGATCTGTATTTCTGCTTGTGTGCTGGCCGATGGCTTTGGCATGACTCAGCAGAGCTGAGGATGGATTCTGCAACAACTATGGGGATGGAGGGTGGATTCTGTAACAACTGCGGGGCTGCTGGGAATGGCTCTTTTCATGTATTGATGTGGTGCATATGGTTAAAGGGGGTTGGGGTACATATAGGTGGTAATTAAGCCTTAGGTTAAAACATGGTGAAGGTGGCACCAGGTGGGGATCAGTTAGTGAGGGTCGGAATAGGGTAGGATGTAGACATGTTATAGGGTTACTAGCATTTAGGGATAATAGGTTAGGCATGTCCAGAACTAGAACTGCGTATAGGCTTGGGTGTGGTGGGGTGTGTCTCATGATAATGGTAATAAAACGAAAGGGAACCAACTCAAACCCAACTCTAACCTTGCCTGGCTTTTAGACATTCTTGCCTGGTTAGAGTATTTGTTGTTTTCTGAGCTAACGAATAAACCACCATTGCACAACAAAGGAGCTGGAGTTGGTATTCATTTCAGGACAAATCTTCAGGACTCAAGGACTGGCTGAGAGTTAAATGATTTGAAGTCCACCCCTGGGCGAGAGCCACGCTTGAGGGACCCACCCCCCTCTGAATAAAGGCTGTCCCATCCACACCCGAAGATCACCCCGAACCCCCCCCCCCCCCGAGACACGACGAGTGCAGGAATTTCACTGCTCTACTTGAATTGTGAGAAACAGACCAGGAAGAGAAGGTGATTGAGCTGAGAAATATGCCAACCAGAAATTGGAAGTGGGCATTTGTGTGTCCCCATACAACCCTATGCCCTACCCATCTGGGTATGCCTCCCCACCGTTTTTCTCTGATGGGGGGGGTGTCTTCCTGTCTTTTGGGCTTCCTGCTTTTTTCCAGAGTTGGAAGGGACTTTAGAGGTCTTCTAGTCCAACCCCTGCTCAAGCAGGAGACCCTACCCCATTCCAGACAAATGGCTGTCCAATCTCTTCTTAAAAACCTCCAGTGTTGGAGCACCCACAACTTCTGGTGGCAGGCTATTCCCCTGGTTAATTGTTCTCCCTGATTTAAAATTTCTCCTTATTCCTAGGTTGCTTCTCTCCAGGATGAGTTTCCATCCGTTGCTTCTCTGTTGCTCTTCTCTGCACTCTTTCCAGAGTCTCAACATTTCTTCTATATTGTGGCAACCAAAACTGGATGCAGGACTCTAGGTGTGGCCTTACCAAGGCATTATAAAGCAGTGTTAGCACTTCAGATGATATAAACAGAATAACAGAGTTGGAAGGGACCTTGGAGGTCATCTAGTCCAGTGGTTGCCAACCGGTGGGCTGGGGACCACTGGTGGTCTGCGAGAAAATTTTGGTGGTCTTCAGAGAAATGTCAACTCCCCCAAAGCAATTAATCCAGGCTGAATTTAGAATAGAAATAAGGATAGAAAATAGAAATAAGAATAGAATAGAAACTAGGATAGAATATGAATAAGAATAGAATATAGAACAGAACAGAATAGAAATAAGGATAGAATAGAAATATAATAGAAATTACAATTGAATAGAAAGAAGAATAGAATAGAAAGAAGGATAGAATAGAAAGGATAGAATATAGAACAGAATTGAATAGAAATAAGAATCGAACAGAAATAAGAATAGAACAGATCAGAATAGAATAACAGAGTTGGAAGGGACCTTGGAGGTCTTCTAGTCCAACCCCATGCCAAGGCAGGAAACCCACTACCACTTCAGACAAATGGCTAACCAACATCTTTTAAAAAACTTCCAGTGTTCAAGAGTTCGATTGACGACTTTATTACTTAACGCCTCTTTCCCAGGAATTGGTTTCCCAGGCTGGCGGTTTGCACCTGGGCCGGAGTATGGGCACTCCTCAACCTACGACCCCAATTGAACCCAATGTTTTTTTGGTTGCTCCACTGAGACATTTGTTTCGGGGAGTTATGCCCGTTTTACGACTTTTCTCCCCACCGTGGTTAAAGTGAACCGACTGCCATTGTTAAAATGAGTCACACGGTCGTTAAGTGAACCTGGCTTAATTCCGTTGATGTCTGCCTGTCAGGAGTTTGCAAAAGGGGATAACCTGACACTCCTCCTCCCCCTACCCTGAGACGCTGCAGCCGTCATAAATATGAGTCATGGGCCAAGCATCCGAATCCCGTGACTGCAGGGATGCTACAGTCAATAAGTGTGAAAAAACTGGTCCCAAAAGTCCCTTTTTTTCAGTGCCGTGGTAACTTTGGTCACTCAACGAAGGTCTTAAGTTGAGGATGACCTGTATTGCTCCTTCAGGAAGACAGTCCTATGATCCTGAATTGGATGCCACCCCGCGGTCCCGCCCCTTTCCTCTGCCCTGTCAACTTTTTTGCCCCTTCTTTCTCTGGCTTGCCTTCAAGCGATCCAGGTTGTGGCCGTATTCATCCAGGATAGTGGTACCGTTGTGCGTAACTCCGTTCCCAGTCATCATCCATGTGTCTGCAAGAGGAAGGACCAAAGAAATACACTCCCTCCGTCAGTCAGGTGAGAGAGAACAGCTTTTTTTTTTTTAAATAAGACTAGCCAGTTGTTCCTTCCTTTGTGGCCGCCTGCCCCTCCAAAAACCAAACAAGAGGAGGCAGAGTGGGAGAATCAGAGGAGGCGGAGGAGGCAGAGTGGGAGAATCAGAGGAGGCTGAGGAGGCGGAGTGGGAGAAGCGGAGGAGGCGGAGTGGGAGAATCAGAGGAGGCGGAAGAGGCAGAGTGGG